AGCACTACGGATAATAGCAGGAAGGAAAGATCACTTTGGGGTTCGGGGGGGATGCAACAATCAGTAAAGGTGTTGTGAAGGGAAGGCAGCACAATGGATAGAGTGCAGGGCCTAGAGTCAAGAAGACTCATCTTCCTGAGTTTAAAGGTGGCCTGAGACACTTACTAGCTGTGTGATCCTGGGCAAGTCGCTTAACCCTGTTTGCCTCAGTTTCCTCATGTGTAAAATGAGCTGAAGAAGGAAATGGCAAACCACTCCAGTATCTTTGCCAACAGAACCACAAATGGGGTCATGAAGAGTGGGGCGTGACTGGAAAAATGAACAACAAAAAGGCTTTCTGAACATAACACCTGTGCTAGAACTAGGCTTACATACCCTCCAGTTTTGGCTGGAGAAGAACTTGGGGTTTCCTCATATGGGCCACTAAAATGTTGAGGTTTAGGAGTGCTGGGACACCAAAATCAGAACACACAGGTCCTGTCCCAAAGAATTCGACCCAAGCCTTCTTTCAGCCAAAGACAAGGTTTATTAGAATATCTGTCATATTGGGCAGACTCTTAAGGAGTCTGAACGTTAGTGAGCTATTGGCTAGATTATAAGAATCTGAGCTGCACCTTATCTCTTACACTGATCCGCCACTCTATTTCTCAGCCAGTAGCAGATAATTTTGATGATTACTGCTGTACAAAACAGCTTGAGATCTGGTATGGCTAAACCACCTTCCTTCACATTTGTTTTCATTAATTCCTTTGACATTCTTGACATTTTTGTTCTTCCAGATAAATTCTGTTATGATTTTTTTCTAGTTCTATAAAATAATTTTTTGGTAGTTTGATTGGTGTGGTATGGCATTGAATAAGTAGATTAATTTAGGTAGAATTATCATCTCTATTATATTGGCTAAGCCTACCCATGAGGAATTAATATTTTTCTAGTTGTTTCGATCTGACTTTATTTTTGTGAAAAGTTTTGTAATTGTCTTCATATAGTTCCTGGATTTGTCTTGGCAGGTAGACTCCCAGGTATTTTATATTGCTTACAGTTATTTTAAAAGGAATTTTTCTTTCTATCTCTTGCTACTGGATCTTTTTTTTTTGATAATATATAGAAATGCTGATGATCTATGTGGATTTATTTTATATCCCTCAACTTTGCTAAAATTGTTAATTATTTCAACTAGTTTTTAGTTGGTACTCTAGGATTCTCTAAGTATATCATCGTTCATTTGCAAAAAGTGATAGTTTTGTTTCCACATTGTCTATCCTAATTCCTTCAATTTCTTTTTCTTCTCTTATTGCTATAGCTAACATTTCTAGTACAATATTGGAAATAGTGACAATGGGCAATAGATCCTAGTTTTAAGGAACTTACATACTAATCATAGATAAATCATGTGAATAAATAGATAATAGATATGATATATCCAAAGTAGAAGGAAGGTAACCTTAGAAGAGGAGGCTCTTATTCAGTCAACAAACATTTATGTTGATCTTAGTATTTGTCTGGCAAAGAGATCCAAAGACCTCCTTACCCTTGAGTGTTAGGATTGTCATCGTGATGAGTATTGAAACCACAGAGGATGGTAGCAAGGGTTAGGGTAGAAAGGAAAACTGTGCGTCTGATGCTAACATGATTGGAGAAAATAGGAACATGTTCTGGAATTCAAGAAATGACAATGATTGCAACAGATTGTGGGGTGATGATAGCAGAGCAAGGGTCTGGGAGAATCGGTGAAGAGAAAGGAGTATGACAACTCCCGGCTGTAGCATTGCAGTGGATGGCAAGGTACTTGGTATCTCCAACAGAAGGTCAGGTTTCATTTAGTACCAAGAGATGGAATGAGTATAAGAGGAAGAGATGGAGGAGGAAAGGAAGTTTGGTAATGATTGAATGAATGAGGACTTGAGAGGCCACCATGGAAGAGGTAAGTAGAGGAGGGGTAGGGCTAAGCTGGAAAAGGATGAAGATAAGTATAAATCACAGAGGAGAGGGATTTTTGCCTGGACAGGCAGGAATGTTCAATCATAAGGATTAGAGGCACTGGTTAGATGGCCAATAATAGGCCTTCATCCCAAGCCTCTGTGACTCGTTTAGGTTTTGATGGCTTAGAATGAGTCTAAATAACAATTGTTTTCTGTTCTGGCCAGAACAGAAAGTCTTCCCTTCCCAGAATGATATTTTGTGTTGGTAAATTAGGCCATCGTTTGTTTTAATTCTTACTTAGTCCTTAGCCATTGAATGGGTGTTGCCTCAGACAAACTGAAGCCTGGGAAAGACTTTAATTTAGAAAGGCCGTAGGCATCCATTGCACCTGGGGCCATCACCCCTTGTCTTGGCTTTGTCTTGCCACTGGACTTCAATGACTCTGGAGGAAAGAGTGACCGCTGAAGACTTTGTAGCTCTGCCTCACTTAAATCTAATTCACAGGCAAATAAGACATAACCCTAACAACAAAAGGTGGAAAGAGAATGAGTTTTGGAGTTAGAGTACCTAGGTTTGAATTTCAGCTCTTCCATTTACTGCCAGTGTGACCTTGGGCAAATCATTTTACCTCCACGGGCTTCAGTTTTCTAGTCTGTGGAGTGAGAGAGTTGCACCTGATGGCTTCTAAGTTTTCTTCTTGCACTGGATCTACCAGCCTATGAGATAGGTATTTTTAATCATGGGGGTGGGGGAGGCTGAGGTATGAGGTAGATTAAGTTCCAAATACACAGAGAACTATAATACAGGTATGATGCTGAATGACCACATTCCAGGTGATTTGGCAGGTTTGGTAGCCACAGGAGCAGGGCATTGGTGAACGGTGCAAGAAGACAGGGAAGAAAGCCTTCATAGTTCCAGATGAATGCCTTAGACTTGGTTGCATCAGGGAAGGACCAGTGATGAATGGCATAGGAAGTTGGGATGGAAGTAGAAGGTTTTAGCACATCCCTCCCCAAGTAAATAATAACAATCATTAGCATTTATGTAGCACTTTAAGATCTGCAAATGTTTCATTTTCTCCTCACTCTGAGAGGTAGGTATGATTATTATCTCCATTTTACAGATGAGGAAACTGAGGCAGATTGTGATGAAGTGACTTTCCCAAGGTCACACAGCTAGTATGTGTCTGAGGCTAGATTTGAACTCAGGTCTTCCTGATTCCTGGTCCAGCCAGAAAAAAAAAAGCCACTGTGCCACCTAGCTGCCTAGATGAATCAACATATATGCAATCAACAATATGTAATCAACATATATGTAAAATATGTAGATAGAATCCAGAATAAGAAAAATCCATCTTGAATCCATGACAGACAGTGAGGTACTTCTTAGAATACCCAAAGGATATTTTATATCATGGAAAGACCTGCAATTTCATCAGTGTAAGTACTCTTTCCACAAATGATCACAGCCCCTTTCTACCTTAGTCATTTCATAAATTTCTATGGCCAAAAAAATTCATTACATAGTGGTTAACCTCTTAGCTTCTCTGAACTTCATCAGCCCGTCTTCAATCAATCAATCAACAAGGATTTATTAGGTACCAACTCTGATATATAAAAAGTTCAAGAGACATAATTTCTGGGTAATTAATCATGTTATTAATTATTTTTATGGCTAGCAAATAATTAATAGAAGGATGGTATTTAGCCATCTTTCAAATGAAAGATGGAATACGTTGGCCTCTTGCTGCTTACATGCCCTTGGAAGAGTGGGTGTTTCCAACAGATGGCGATGAAATCTGATTGCTTAACATTTAATGAGAGAATGAATATGATAATGAGAGGTGGGCCTATTCTAATGAGGGGCTGGGGTACTCAATTTTGATTATGTCACTCTTACTCCCAGACCCCCAAGTCTTGAGCAATCTAGGCAAATGATCTACTCTACCCTGTCCAAGCCTGAATAGAAAATAATGAGCCAGAATTCACCTAGATTAAATTAAATTAAAATTAAACTAGGCTCTTTTTACTGTAATTAGAACTAATCTCCAGTTGGGTTGGTCTGAACAAGATTGAGAAGAATGTTAAAATTCAATCTCATTATCAGCCCTATTTTTCAGGGGCTTATTTGACCTAGTAGAGAATGAGGAAATCAAAGGGGAAAAAATCCTGGATCTCCCCATGGTAACTGGTTATTGATATAGAGAAATAATCATTTCTTTCACTACCATGTGTTAAACAATGGGGACACAAAGACCCAAGAGAAGCCCCTGTCCTTGCCCTCAGGGGTTTCTGTTCTATTGAAAGAAATACCATATAGAGTACACATATGAATATATGCATAGTTTATACAAAATAAATATTAAGAAATTCCTACGCAGTTGAGGGGGATCAAGAGAGCCTTCACGTTAGAGATTGTTGTTGTGGTATTTCAGTTGTATCCAGCTCTTCATGACTCCATTTGGGGTTTTCTTGGCAGAGATACTGGAGTGGTTTGCCTTTTCCTTCTCCAGCTCATTTTGCAGATGAGGAAACTGAGGCAAACAGGGTTAAGTGATTTGCCCAGGGTTGCTCAGCTAGTAAGTGTCTGAGGCCATATTTGAACTCATGAAGATAAGTTGTTGTGATTCCAAGCCCAGTGCTCTATGTACTGCATCACCTAGCTGCCCCATGTTGGAGATCACAACCCTTCAAATGACAATCCTTTAATGGGCCTTTCCAGCTGAATGGGACCTAGGAGAGCTTGTGTCCTACTGACATAGCTCTTGAGCGGAATCCCTCAATGTTCACTTTGTTGGCAGGCCTATGAAGTCCACCATCTGAGCGTGCATGCACACAGGTTTTTCAAAAGTACAGTACATTTGAATACTGGAGTATTAGAGCTGACCCCATTAATTTTCTTTCACAACAACCTGCCTCGTTCTTAATTTTCTTTTCCAATATACTTGTTTATCATTGTATAGTAAAGATCTGGGCTTCTCTTAGTAACAGTCAGGTCTGTCTACCCATATGCCAAGCCACGCCCATAAAGAAGAGAATGCTGAATGAGGGCTTTCACTCCTTCAGGTTGTGCTACATAAATAACCTGGGCACAGTGATTTACTTCTTTATTGCCAAGTTCTTAGCAATAGCTGAGCTACCAGCTTAACAAGAACAGAAGACACTATCCTTTCTCTCTTTTTTTTTCCTGGATAGTTTTATGGACACAGCAGGGGCCACCATGCCAGCTCCCAAGACATCTGCTTCTTCAGGTACACTCTGTGGGCAGCTTTGCTAACTCAGCACCACTTCTTACTTTGAGTGGCTTTATCATAGGCTGTTTGGTATCAACCTGCTAGAAATTGTTGCATTGTGTTATTTTTTTTAAAGGCTTTGACATCTACTCTGTAGTTCACCTTACTTGATATAAATCCTTGTTCCTTATCACCACACAGCCTGCCTCTAATACCAGAAGAGTATTGAAATGGCCTTAAGTCTTGATTGTTTTGTTATTTTGACTCTCAGAGGCACAGGACAGTGTGGGAAAAAGTGCCAGACTCGGGATCAGCTGACCTGTGTTCAAGTCTTGGTGCTGATGTCCTTAGCTGTTTGATTATGGCCAAGTTATTTTCTATCTGAGAGAATCAGTTTTGAAAATGGGGGTTCAATTCAACAAATATTTATTAAATATTCCTTGTAAGAGCACTGTGCTTCAAATAGAAGTCTTATGAAGCTTAGGGAACTGGTTTTTTTGGGAAATGCAGTAAAAAAAAAATACCATTGTAAAGGCAGGTGGTAGTTTTTTTTTCTTTTTCCATTTTTACACAAGCATTGGAAGTGTCTTCTTTTCTACCATAGCAACAGCTTTGTTGTTTAACTTGTTAAATTGGGCTGCTTAGGAGTCCACTAGAAAAAGAACACAGAAGGAAGATTAATTAAGACTCTTTGGAAAGCACACAATTAAGAATACCTTTAAGAACCAAACTGAACATTAATTATGGTGATAAATCTTGGCAAAGAGATGACAAAATGCGTCTTCCTCCTTTCTTAGCAGAAGTGGAGGGCTACGGATATGTAATATCGCATAGACTGCTAGATTCAGTGGATATGTAATTTTGCAGCTAATTTTGCTTCAGTTACCTTTTTTCTCTTTCTTTTTTGTCATTTGTTATAATGGATAGCTCTTTAGGTGAAGGAATATATTTGGAAATGATGGTGATATAAAAATAGAAGCTATTGATGAAATAAATATTGTTGATATCAAAAGGCCCAACTGAGAATCACAAAATTATTGGACTGTTAGAGATAGAAAAGAATTTACTGATCTTCTAGTCCCACCTCTTCATTTTACAGATAAGGAAACCGAGGTTCAGAGATATTGTGTGACTTGTCTAAGGTCATATACCATTTTTTGAATGCAAAACTGTGTCTCCAAAGAATGTGGAAGCCTCATGTTGGAGGCAAGAGCTCTTCACTATTGTATGAATTTTATTTGTTTAATCTTAAATTGATGCTTTTGAATAATTGAGCTACTTGTAGTACAGATTTCTCTCTCTTGGCAAAGTATAATGCAAATGAATTTAAGCATAACCTTAAATACCTTATTTTTGAAACATGAACAAAAACATTAGTAACTTTGTATTATGGTGAAGGGAAAGGAATAAGCATGTATATAGTGCCTACTATGTGCAGGCCCACTGTTAAACGCTTTTAGAAATATCTCATTTGATCCTTACAAAAACCCTGCAAGATATGTGCAATTATTATCCTCATTTTACAGTGGAGGAAATTGAGGCAAAGAGAGGTTTTATGACTTTCCCAAGGAAACTCAGCTATTAAGTGTCTGAGGCCAAATTTGAACTCAGGTCTTCCTTATTCTATCTACTGTCTCACCTAACTGCCAAAACTAGACCAGAGTGTAGGAAGGGAGAGTAATGTATAATGAGGCTGGAAAATTAGGTTGGGGCCAGGTTATAAAAAGTTTTAGAAGTCAAGCAAGAATGTATATTTCAACCTAGAGGCAATAAGGAAACACAAGTTTATTGAATAGTGACATAGTTGAGGGTAGTGGATAGAGTGCTGAGCCTGGAGTCAGGAAGAATCATCTTCCTGAGTTCAAATCTGGCCTCAGACACTTCCGAGCTGTGTGACCCTGGGCAAGTCACTTAGCCCTATTTGCCTCACTTTCCTCATCTGCAAAATGAGCTGGAGAAGGAAATGGCAAAAGCACTCCAGGATCTTTGACAAGAGAACCCCAAATGGAGTCCCAAAGAGTCAGACAGAACTGAAAGATGACTGCCCAACAAGTGATGTAGTTGGAACTGAATTTAAGGAAAATCACTTTAACAGTTATGTATAGAATTGATTGGAGTGGGTACAGACTTGGGGAAAGGAGACTAATCAGAAGGTCACTATAATAGTTCAGAGTAGAGATTTCATTTCCAAGATATATGAGGAATCGATACAAACACATATATACATTTTTTTTTAGGCAATTGGGGTTAAGTGACTTGCCCAGGGTCACACAGCTAGTGTCAAGTGTATGGTCTGAGGTCGGATTTGAACTCAGGTCCTCCTGACTTCAGGGCTGGTACTCTATCCACTGCGCCACCTGGCTGCCCCACAAATATTTTTTAAAAAGCCATTCCACAGCTGATAAATGGTCTAATGCAATTCTCAAGAGAAAAACCTAGGCTATCTGTAGCCATGTGAAAAAAAAAGGTCTAAATCATTAATAATTAGAAAAATGCACATTAAAGCAATTCTGAGGTTCCAGCTCACATCCATCAGACAGGTGAAAATGACAAATGTTGGAGTAGCTTGGGGAAACTGACACAGAAGAGCTGTGATTAGGTCCAATAGTTCTCAGAAGCAATTTGGAACGATACACAAAAAATTACTAAACAGTGCATGCTCTTTTACCTACATATTCCTCTGCTAGGTCTATAGCCAAAAGACATCAAAGAGGAAAAGATCCTTTACTTACAAAAATATAGATATCAGCTCTTGCTGTGGTGGCAAAAAATGAAAACTAAGGGGATGTCCATCATTTGGGGAATGGCTGAACAAATCATGTAATGGAGTGTCATTGTGCTCTAAGAAATAAAGAAAGAAAAGGTTTTAGAAAAACTGGTAACACTTGTTTGCACCGATGCAGTGAAGTGAGCAGAATTAAAAGAACAATTTACACTATTCCGTCAATATTACGAAAATGAACAATTTTGAAAGGCTTAACTCTAATCAACATGATTCAATCTAGAGGACTCATGAAGAATACAACCTGCCTCATGACAGAGAAATAATGGTCTAATATGCACAATAAGAAATTCATTTCTGAATATGACCAATGTGGGAATGTTTTGTTTGACTATGCTTTTGTAATACAGAGGTTTTCTCTTCTCTCTCTTTCTCTCTCTCCCTTCCTTCTTTTCTTCCTTCCCCTCCCTCAGTCCCCCCTCCTTCCCTCCTTCTCTCCTTCCTTCTTTTCTTCCTTCCTTTTTTCCTTCCTTTTTTCTTCCTCCTTCCTTTCTTTGTGGGGTGGGGGAAGGTGGGAGGGAAAATTAATGCTTGAAAATTGAAAAATGAGGGGGCGGGTAGGAGGTGCAGTGGATAGAGCACCAGCCCTGAAGTCAGGAGGACCTGAGTTCAAATCTGGCCTCAGACCAAACACTTACTAGTTGTGTGACCCTGGGTTAAAAAAAAAAGGAAAGAAAATTGAAAAATAAAATTTAAAATTTAAAAATAGATTCGGGAGCACTGAGATACAAGGAGGGACAGGAGAGTGTACTTTAAAAAGGCAATTTCAGACCACAGATGCTAACTATTTTGGGTGATAGGGTAATAAAGATTGTAAGTATTCTGATGTAATGGCTTGAGGGAAAGTGAAATTAAGGTGATGAGAACAGAGGATTTTAATGAATTGGGCCAGGATGTTTGAAGGGTCATCATTGTATGTATTATAGTCACCAAGTCTGAGGGAAGTGGTTTAGGAAGGAAAGGAACACTTAAGTCAAAGTTGTTGTTCTTGAAGAGGACTATGACATCAGGGAGGTGATGCCATGACATGCAAGTGAATTGGATTTAAGTGAGGGAGGGCTGTGCAAAGTCACCAGCTCCACTTTCTCCTCTGGAGCCATCTGGGTCCAGTGGCAAGATACAGATTAGGACGACTGGAGATGGCCCCAGATGCAGTGGGAGACCTTGGCCTTTTAAGCTAAGGTCTTTCCTAGGTCTCAATTTGACTGAGGCATATTCAATGACTAAGGCTAGGTAAGAAATAAGGCAGAGTATGGTCTCTTTACCTAGTCAAAAAAAATCTATCTGGGAGGGGAAAACGCTCAAGGTTTCTGACCAAAACAGAAAGAATTGCTGTTTACATTCACTCTGAGCCAGTCTGGGCCCATACACTGACCAAGTGGGTCTTGGCCTGGGAACTACTGTTGGCCAATCAACAACAGCCAGAATGATTTGGCTTTAAGCAGGGGTCCTTAAGGGAAAAAAAAAAAAGGTTTCACTGTACTCCTTGAAGAAGGAATGAGGGATGGGGAACGGAGGAGGCCAGTAGATCTGTATATGATCATAGGTCTAGAATTGGAAGGGACCTCAGACACCGTCCAATCCAATCTCCTATTTTTCAGATACGGAATTTGAAGCCCAGAGATATTCAATGACTTGTCCAAGGTCACACAGGTAATAAGTGACAGAGATGGGACTTGACCTCAGGTCCTTTAACTCAAAAGCTGGTGCTCCCTCCTCTATACCATACTGTCTCCCAGTCAGGGAATAGAGTGAAGAGGCTGATATGTCTCCTGCAGAGAAGGGAGGGTTCTGAGTGCATGAGGGCAGAGGAAGGGTCCAGAAATGGCAGTGAGGAGCAAGAAGTGTGTCTACTCTACCCCGAGGCCAACCGATATATGGGGGGTGTGTGTGAGAAGGATCACCCAATACTAAAGAAAGTAACCAAGAAAACAGAGTCTTCTAGGAGGAACCAAGTTTTCGTAAGTGCAAGAAAATGGAATGGGTATGAGATGAAAGAGAATTTTGTTTTAGAGGGCATGGTGGAAAGAACAGAACAGGAAAAGAAAGCAGGTTGGGGAGTTAGATAGGAATGAAAAGTGAAATCTCATTTATATCACAACAACAAAACTCATCCTTATTTGTGATTTAATCTACTAAGCAATCTATTTAATACCTGCATACAGACAATTATAAAGCCATAGGGATAGGGACTAGACTATGATGTCAAAAGTAGTTTTTCAGTCATACACGACTCTTCGTGACCCCATTTGGGATTTTCTTGGTAAAGATAGTGGAGTGGTTTGCCATTTCCTTCTCCAGCTCATTTTACAGATAAGGAAACTGAGGCAAACAGGGTTAAGTGACTTGCCCAGAGTCACACATCTAATAAGTCTCTGATCAAATTTGAACTCAGGACCTGATGCTCTATCCACTGCACCACATTCTGCAATGAAGTTGGCACCTCCACTGCTATTTACAGGCTTAGAGATTTGCCTAGAGCCCAGGGTCACATGGCTCTATATGTCAGGGAAGGTTTTGCACCCAGGTGTTTCTGAATCCAAGGTTTGCTCTCTCTTCTATGGATTGCTACCTCTTGCTACCTACTAAAAATATAAAACCTGAAATAAAGGTAGACCTAAATATTTGGAGAAGTAGTTTTTATAGATAGGCTGGATTGACAATACTTCGGAAATTAATTTACATACCTAACTTGGCACCAATTACAATGCTAAAGGGTTTTTTTAAAAAATACAGAATTAGATGATGAAATTTACATGGAAAAAACACTTTTAAGAATATCAAAGCCTCACTGAACTTTTAAAAACTAATGAAACTACTTTAAGACATTTTACAAAACAGTAATCAACTGGGGAGCAGGGTGATAAGTCAAAAGCTCACTGAGATGGGAGTCAGAAGACCTAGGTTCAGATGTCAGTTCTGATGCTCCTTGCATGATGTTTGGCAATTCACTTAATCTTCTGGGGCCTCAGTTTCCACATCTGTAAAAAAAAAAGTGTGTGTGGGAGAGGAGGGGGGAATTGGATTATATGATCCTTAAAGCCCTTCCACCTCTAGGTTTCTGATTCTGTCTCATAATATGTATAACTTGTTATATGTATTTGTGTATTGTCTCCCCCATTAGATTGTGAGCTCTTTGAGGGCAGGGACTGTCTTTTGCCTCTTTTTGTATCTCTAGAGCTTAGCACAGTGCCTGGCACACAGTAGATGCCTAATAAATGGTTACTGATTGATTGTTTGATGCTGAGACATAATGTCCAATAAGTTCTTCCTCCTCCCCCAAATAGAATTTTCAGTGTTTTCTTTTAAAGACAGTACTGTAAACAGATGGCTCAGATAGACAGGTCCAGTCTGTCCAAAAGGTAAGGGAGACCCCACCAACTGTGTGATTTAGTCAGTGGATTTACTGATATTTACTCGCTTTTTTTTTTTTGTCAGGCAATGTCTTCTGTTAAGATAGAGACTGTCATAAAGGAAAAGAACCGGATGGGAGAGTGTCCTGTGTGGGACGAAAAAACTGGTCACCTTGTTTTTGTGGATATCAACGCTCAGAAAGTTTGCAGATGGAACCCGATCACTGGGGAAGTACAGAGTGTGACCCTGGGTGAGTAGGAGAGGCTTCTCACTGCAAAAGCTTCCAATATGAAGAAAAGGGGCTTTCTTGATTTGCTAATCTATAGGTATTCCTTTGCTAGAGCAGATGAACATACTGCAAAGAGTTCATGAGTGAAAGGGCAACAGAAAAAAAAGTGACTCCCTATTTCCTAAATGAAAGCTGCTGCTGATAATATCAAGTCCAGATTCTTCTAAGTTTCAAGATTTTAAAAAAAATTCTTTTTAACGGTTTCCATAACCTGGCCTCATCTGACCTAGCCAATCTCACTTCTCTATTATTCCCTGACTTGTACCTTTTCCTTTAGTTAACCCAAAGACCTGGGTTCAAATCCTACCTTAGATGCTTGCTAGCCATGTTAACTATGAACAAAATACTTCACCTCTTTCCATCTCATTTCCTTTTCTATAAAATGGGGATAATGACAATATCTATCTAGGATTGTTGAGGGGAGCAAGTGAGGTAGAAAAGCATCATCTTAATGTTAGCTATGTAATGATGATATTCATCTTGGCTGTCCTGTCTTCACTTACGTTCTCTTTATCTAAAATGTCCCTTTCTGTCTCCCTGTTCAAATTCTCCTATCTTCAAGGTCCACCTCCAATCTCATTTCCTCCACAAAGCCTTCCTTGATCACTCTAGTCCTATTGAGTCTGTTAAATCAAGTGGAAAAAAAAAAGCAATTGGTAAGTGCTGATTTAGCACGTGTTCTGGGGATACAACAATAAAAGTGAAATAATCCCTACCCTCATGGAGCTTACATTCTTACATTTAATCCACAGCATATAAACTCCTGGAGAGCAGACTGCATCATTTTTGTCTTTGTATCATCAGAGCCTAGCACAGTGCCTGGTATACAGTAAGTGCTTAATAAATACTGGTTGCTTTATTGATTGATTCTAATCCAGAAGACAGCATGTACGTATACAGTCGTACATACAAAACACTTAGGAAGCAGATACAAGGTAACCTTCAAGGGGGAAAGGCACTAACTCTTGAGAGGACCAGGAAAGCCCATGCAGAAGATGGCTCTTGAAATAAGCCTCTAGCTGCCCTCTAAACTCCAAAGGCACATCTAGTCTGTGCCATACAACTGAGCACTTAATTTTATTTTTAAAATTTTTAAAAATTTATTGTTAGTTTTCAGCATTCACTTTTATAAGATGTTGAGTTTCAAATTTTTTTCTCCCTCCCTCTCTCCACTCCTCCCCTCCCCAAGATGGCAAAGAATATGATACAGTTTATACATGTATAGTCATCTTAAACATATTTCCACATTAGTCATATTGTGAAAGAAGAATCAAAACAAAAGGGAAAAACTACAAAAAAAAAAAGAGAGAGAGAGAAAATAGTATGCTTTAATCTGCATTCAGACTCCATAGTTCTTTCTCTGGGTGTGGACAGCATTTTCCATCATGAGTACTTTGGAATTGTCTTAGATCATCGTATTACTGAGAAGAGCTAAGTCTATCAAAGCTGGTCATTACACAATTTTGCTGTTACTGTGTATAATGTTCTCCTGGTTCTTCTCACTTCACTCAGCATCAGTTCATGTAAGTCTTTCCAGGTTTTTCTGAAATCTGTCTGCTCATCATGTCTTATAGCACAATAGTATTCCATTACATTCGTATACCACAACTTGTTCAGCCATTCCCCAACTGATGGACATTCCTTTGATTTCCAATTCTTTGCCACCACAAAAATTGCTGCTATAAATAGTTTTGTACATGTGAGCACTTAATTTTATATGTGTATTCTGATTATATGTATATATTGTTCTCTAATTGCTCTTTTCATATTATTATCAGTACCTCTCCCCTTTTTCCCCTCTGTCTATGTGGGGAGTCATATTCTTTCATGTGGGTGCTCTGTCCAAAGAAATATCAATTTTTATCTCTTATATTTGCAAGGAATCTCAGGGTTTAGGGGCTAGATTTTTTTTTCTTCTCTATTTGTTCTATCTTTTTTTTTTTAAACTGGAACAATTAACTCTTTTATTTCATATAATTTTCATTTATGATTCTTTGAAATATAGTTCTGGAAAACCAGACTTTGTTAAGGCCCGTGGTGATTGAAGTGGAGCTACTTGACTATACTTTTAACCCCAAATCTGGTTCCCACTAACTGGCCAATAAGTCCCAGCCCAAGCCTCACTCGCTTATTGTTTGGGTTTTGATGTCTCAGAGTGAGTGCAAATAGCAATTGTTTCTATTCTGGCTAGAACCTGGGAAAGACTTTAGCTTAAAAATGCCAGGGTCTCCTACTACATCTGGGGCCATTGCCAGTGGTCTTGACCTGTGTCTTGCTCTGGACTCCGATGACCCTGGAGGACAGAGTGAGGCTGATGACTTTGTACAGCTCTGCCTCACTTAAATCCAACTCACTTGCAAGTCAGGACATCGCTCTCCTGATGTCCTCTCTCAAGAATGAAGGACAAACTCTTTCTGATGGCTCCTCCTATTGGTTTTAATTTTTACTTACAACATCACTAATGTGAAAATATGTTTAATAGGAATGTAAATGTATAGCCCATATCAGATTGTATTCTATCTTGGGGAGGGTGGTGGGGAGGAAAGGGGACAAAAATCTTAAACTCAAAAGCATATGGAAGTGATTGTTGACAAATCAAAATAAATTAATAAAATAAATTTTAAAAAAAGAATGAAGGACAAACAAGAACAATAACACCACCTCTCCCAACTAGATTGTAAGTCTCTTAAGGAGAAGGACTCTGTCTTCTACTTTTATATTATCTTTGGGCAAAGTACCTACCTAGTGGTTAACTTATTGGTTGAATGATCCTTTTCAGAAATTCATGAGGGTCTGAGACTTGAGTTCAAATCCTGTGTGACCCTGAGTAAGTCACTTAACTTGTCTGCCTCAGTTTCCTCAACTGTGAAATGTAGATAATAGTACATATCTCACAAGGTTATTGTGAAGATCAAGCAATTTAACAGATGTAAAGCACTTTGCAAATTTAAAGCTCTGTATAAATGCTAGTTTTTATTATTGATGGTGTGTTGTTGAAGAAAGGAAGGGAGCAGGTGTTTGTGAGTCTAAAGAAAGCATTAGCAAGTCTTGATGGTGAAATTGGAGGCAATCAGATTCTTGCTTGTTGGCCTGTAGGGAACCTGTACTTTAAATGGAAGCTCCTTGGGAGTAGGAATCCTATCATTCTTTGTACTTCAGTCCTCTATATCTAGCATAGTTCCTGGCACAGAGTAAGCGCTTGATAAATATTTGCTGATTGATTGATTGATATTTGTAGGGAGAAAGGGACCAGAACTCGTTCTGGAAAATGTCTTTTGTCTCTAATGTTGTGAGACTTTGTCCCACCAGCTTAATGAAGGCTGTATTAAGGAGTGACGTCAAAGACAAAACAAATGCATCATAACTGAAATTGAACAATTCAATGGTTAGAGAATCCTGAAGATGGTCTTTATATTTTGTAATCTTTTTTTTTTGGTAAGGCAATTCAGGTTAAGTGACTTTCCCAGAGTCACAAAGCTAGTGGGTGTTATGTATCTGAGGCTGGATTTGAACTCAGGTCCTCCTGACTCTAGGGCCAGTGCTCTATCCACTGCACCACCTAGCTGCCCCTGGTCTTTGTATTTTGAAAGATTAGCAAGAAGTTTCCTTCTCCATAGAAAAGTGGAGAGATGTGGAAAAATTAGGACTTCAGTTCATTGTTGGTGAATCTGTGAGCTGATCCAGTCATTTTGGAGAGTGATTTGGAATTACATCCAAGGTGTTATTAAACTGTCTATATCCTTTGACCCAGCAATACCACTTTTAGGTCTGTTTCCCAAGATGATTAAGGGAAAAGGAAAAGAACCTATATGTTCTAAAATATTCATAGCAGCTCTCTTTGTGAAGAGTGAAGGTGAAGAACTGGAAATTGTGAGGATGCCCACCAATTGGGGAATGGCTAAACAAACTGTGGTATATGTTTGTGATGGAATATTACTCTTATATAAGAAATGATGAGCTTTATGATTTTAGAAAAACATGGAAAGACCTACATGAAATAATGAAGAGGAAAATGAGCAGAACCAAGAGAATATTGTATACAGTAACAGCAATATTGTTTTAAGAATAACTTGGAGTGATCAAGTCATTCTGACTATTATAAATGGCCAAATTAACAGCAGAGGTCCTATGAAAGAAAATGTTTGCAGCCAGAGAAAGAACTCAACCTGCCCCCCCCCGTCAATGAGCCTCCCCCCGCCCCATACATATTTGTGTCTAATGGTAGACAGCTCTAGAGTGAGGGGGAGGGAGGGGAAAAAGAGAAAGCTGTATAATAACTTTGTTGTATATTTAAAAGAGATAGCAATTTCAGGTGCAATCCTCTTTTTTTCTTCTATTCCACTTTGTTATGGAAATGCTTATTTTATTTCTTAAGTTCAGAATCTAAAAAAAGAAAAGAGGATAGAAAAATTGAAAAATAGAACAAATCCATATTTTTTCATTAAGAGTTAATACAGAAGAAGGCAAAGCTCTGATAATGTTAAAGAGATGGATGACAGCTAGTGTTTGGGAATCCATATCTACCTGGCTTTATTTGGTTTAACTGTTTTTAAAAACCGTGTATTTAAATGAAGGAATTGATGATATGCACATGAAATTTGTGGATGACAAAAAGCAGGGAAGGATAGCTAACACACTGGATGATAGATCACGATGTTGGCTGAAGCTAGTAAGGTAAAATTCAATAGGAATAAACTTTAAAAATCCAAACTTGGGCTTTAAAAAAAAATCATCTATGAAGGAATCAAATCATAGATGCATTTAACTTAGTCAAGTTTAATTTATGTCTCAGAATGAGTGTTGAGATGGGAGAGGTGAATGTGCTGTTCCCTCAGCAGGTCTCAGCTAGGCCCTTTTGTGCTGTGAGCATCCCCCATGCCCCATATTATTTTAGAATCTCCTCTTCACCATACTGACAGACCAAGCTGATAGAGATAATGAGAGAGACTGCCTCAGTTGTTCTTTCTAACATTCCTAGTGAACTAGAATGGCCCTTGTGTCCTCTTGACTTGTTGGTGCCCTCTCTTGTCTCATGATGAAGTACGAAGAAGTAACAGATGTGTGACAGTGAGATCACACTCTTATGTAATCACACATACATAAATCCTTTTCAAGAGTATTTTCCCTACGATTATCAGTTTTCCGGCCAACTAAGTCTTTGCCTATTTTCTGTTTTCTTCTATTTGAGTAAAAGTTTTGATATGAGGTGTTATTAAAAAAAAATTAAACTTACTTTCAATTTTTCTATAGCAACCATTTTGGATCCACCTGTTCTCTGATACAAGCTGCCTTCTTTGAAGAGACCTGAACCTCTTCCCAGACACAACTATTTAAAGATACTGTACTATATTTTACAGCAGATAGATGACTCAGTAGATAAAGCACTGGGCCTGGAGTCAGGAAGACCCGAGTTCAAATTTGGCCTCAGACATTTATTAGCTGTGTAACCCTGGGGAAGTTAATTAACTTCTATTTGCTTTAATACGCTAGAAAAGGAAATGGCAAACTACTCCAGTGTCTTTGCCAAAACAACCCCATGGACAGTGTGGTCCCAGCCAGGGGTGTTGAACTGTGGCCTTGAGGCCACATGTGGTCCTCTATGTCCTCCAGTGCAGCTCTTTGACTGAATCCACACTTCACAGAACAAATCCCCTTAAAAGGATTTGTTCTATAAAACTTGGACTCAGTCAAAAGGCCACACCCAAGGATCTAGAAGGTTACATGTGACCTCAAGGATGCAGGTTCCCCACCACTGGTCCAGGGGGTCACAAAAAGTTGGACATGACTGAACAACAACTATTTTTTATAGGTGATTTCAAGGACTTCCTAGGGTAATTACTATCTTATGTGATTTTATGCCTTTTGTACTGAATTTAGAAACGCATCCTTTGGTGCAGCGTGACTCCACTGTACACAAGTACAGGGAAGCATGAGTACAACAGCAGCTCACATGGGAAACAGGTTTTACATAATTGTATATGTATAACCTATATAACACTGCTTGCTGTCTTGGGGAGGAGGGAAGGGAGAGAGAGGGAGAAAAATTTGGATCTCAAAAATCTTATTAAAAAATGAATGCTGAAAACTGTCTTTACATGAAATTGGAAAAAATAAAATGTTATTTACATTTTAAAATTAAAATCCCCCCCAAAAAAAGTTCACACACACAAAAAAAAACCTCCATAAAATTCTGCATCATAGCATGGTAAATGAAAAAACTAATGTAATCTTGGACTACATTAATAGGAGTCTAACAATGAATAAACCACTCCTGGGAGCTTAGGGATTAGGGTACTGCATAATCATCTCTCTCTGTCTCTGTGTCTGTCTGTCTGTCTGTCTGTCTGTCTGTCTGTCTCTCTCTCTCTCTCTCTCTCTCTCTCTCTCTCTCTCTCTCTTTTCTCTCTCCCTAAGGGGACCCTCTCAATTCTGGACTACTTACTTGGTGACTGGATGAACTTCAGTACTGGGAGACTCTGGCCTCTAACAAGAGGGTTAGGCTCTTTGCACCCCAAGGAAAAATTACTTAAATGTAGGTTTGCTTCATATCTGAATTCTCCCCAAAGTAAGGAGTAAAAAAGTATACAGTGTGCAACATAAATCAGGTATGGATTGGTATTTATTTAATGGGACAGGTATTTACTTCCTACACACTAAAGAAATATTATATGTGGAAGATTTTCATCAGTTCACATTGACAATAAGACTTGAAACAGGTTTCATTAATTTGTAATACTATTACATTCACCATGTATTGACAGAAACTTAAACAACTTAAACAAGCAATAGTATTAACTACTATTAAACTCTGCTGGAAGGTTGAGATTTAAACACTGGAGCATGAAATATTTTGTGGAACTGCTCAATGGGCATTGCTAAATTTTATTTAGGCTCCGCAAGGTCCAAATAACTTCGGGTCCATGTCTTCTGGCAAGGCAGACCAGGGCTTGGGCCCAGTCTCTCATCAGTGGTCATCTTCTCAAATGAAGAAATTCCCTTTACCTCCAGTCATCTTAATTGATGGACCCTGGATCTAACCTCTCCAACTCACAGCGCTGGACCATCTCAAAATCACTGTTTGGTCATTTCCTATTAAACAAATAATAACAAAGTAGAACTGGCAGACAGAAGCTCGGGCTCGAGTTCACCTAGTTGAGTGTTCTTGTTCTATCTCCCATGGCCATGCAGGAGTGGTCACTATAGGGGAGGAGGTGGGTAGGAAAGGGCGACAGGCCTTCATCTCTGCAGCAAGAAGATTGCCGAGAACTCACATGCATTGTTGTAAGGAAGAGAAAGAAATGAATGAAGATGGTTCAATTCTCTATTAATGGTCCACTAATCATCAGTTCCTCTGGCTCAGTGATTAATAAGGGGATTCCTTCATCATGCCCAAAGCACCCTTTAGTCCTGAGTCACACATGACTGGTTAATATCAGCCAAGAATTTTGTAATCCCTAAGCACCAAGCCCTGAGTAAACACATGTGTTTGGCTGGAATTAAGCAGAGAAGCCCTGTTCACACTGCATTAAACTACTGGTTGCAAAAGCATAGTATTTAGATAGTATCCTATCCTGGTTAGATCATATCTGGAGCTTTGTAGCCCGCTGTGGATACCACATTTTGCAAGGGACATTGACAAGGTGGAAGTTATCCAGAGAAATACAACCAAAAGGATGAGGAGACTTGGAACCATACAATATAAAGATGGATCAATTGAACTAGGAATATTTAACTTGAAGAAGAGAAGGCAAAGCAGAAGAGAGTGGGGAGGACATAAATATTTATTTAATGGGACAGGTATTTACTTCCTACACACTAAAGAAATGTTACATATGAAAGATTTTCATCAGTTCACATTGACAATGAGACTTAAAACAGGTTTCATTAATTTGTAATACTGTTACATTCACCATGTATTGACGGAAACTTAAACAACTTAAACAGGTACCCTTCCATAGCACTGCATAACTCACCACTATGTCTGCTCCTTTGTGTTTCTTGCAGATGCCCGGGTAGGATGTGTGGCTCTCCGAGAGTGTGGGGACTATGTTGTAGCCCTTGGAACACGGTTTGGCCTCTTGAACTGGGAAGACCAATCAGTGACAACTGTTTCTTACCTCGAACAGGATAAACCAAACAACAGGTTCAATGATGGCAAAGTAGACCCTGCTGGAAGATTTGTGGCTGGTAAGGATGGAAATAGTAATAATGACTCCTATTTAGACTGTTTCTTAAAGTTGCCTCACTGCTTTCTTCACAATAACCCTGTGAGATAGGTAGTGAAAATATTATTATCCCTGTCCTACAGATGAGGAAACTGAGTCTCAGAAAGATGAAGCAACTTGTGTCAAAAAAATTGATATAGTATGCTGAGCTTCAGGCCTAAGTCTGCCAGAAACAATTTTTATTTAGTTTAATATTATTCCAAGTCCAAACACTTCTCGTTTAGATACTAGCAAGTATCTAAGGCAAGATTTGAACCCTGGGCTTGCTGACTAGCCATTATGGCACACTGCGTCTCTATTTTTCATCTTTGATTTCCTAGTATCTAGCACACACTAAGTGATTAACAAATGTTGACTGACTGATTGATCCCCGCAGGTACAATGGCTGAGGAATCTAGCCCAGGAGTATGGGAGAAACAACAAGGGTCTCTCTATACTCTCTATTCGGATTGCTCTGTGATGAAGCAGTTGGGCCAGCTGAGCATCTGCAATGGATTGGACTGGTCTCTGGATCACCAAGTGTTCTACCACATTGATAGCCTGACATATGCTGTGCATGCCTTTGACTATGATCTACCGTCAGGGAAGATCGGTATGGGTAGGATCTTATGGTCCTTTTTATTTCAGGAATCCTGGAAAGACACTCTTATTAAGCCAGCGGGTACAGATGACATGAACATGGACTTGTTCTTCAAGGCAGCAATGGAGAGAAGGGCAGGAAAGCTTGCAAATGGTTCACTTAGGACAAATAATTCATGTGGATGATAATAAATTTATGGAACTCATTGCCCTAAGAGGTGATTGAAAAAAAATAGAAACAGATTCAAAGATGGTTTTGATAAATTAGTGTGTAGCAGAACTATGATGGACTATTAAGACAACCTCCCAGTACTTTAGGATTCATGCAGTACCCTTGATGTAGCTACCATGGTATAAACCTGGACACAGGACAAATTGTGAAGCAGGTAAATTTTTTTAAATTTAATTGAATTCTATTTTTTTTTAATCAATGAAAATCCACCTTTGCTCCTTCCCACTTCCCCCTCAATTGAGAAAGAAACAAAAACAAAACTCCTGTTGCAGACATGTATATCCATTCATAGGCTCTCTCGGCCTACTTTACCTGATTTAAAGTACCCAGTATCCTCAGGTCCTCTGTTTCCCTTCCCCTAGTAAAACCCACATTTTGAAAAGTCTCTTTTTTTAACCTTAGTATGAATTTGTCCATTTAATACTTCCTCCAGGACTATTTTCACTTTAGGTTTTAATTATAGAATTAAAGAGTCTCCTTTTATCCTCATTCCCCAAGTTGATGGGGGAGATAATTTAGGGCAGGGAAATCTTGTTGGTGGCCATGAGATGGGTAGCTGCCTTCAAGCCAATGAGCAAGGCCGTCCTCATCAAAAGGACCACAATTCCTTGGAAGATAATGTTCCTTCATTGTATTGTGATATACAGAGCATGCACTGCCCAGGCCACGGGTGTGACATGCTGTGGCAATGCTTGGGTAGTAGAAGGAGGGCTGAGCTTACAGTTAGAAGATCTGAGTTTGAGCTCTGGCTCTACTACTAACTAGCTATTTGAACTTAGTGAGTCATGTTATATTTCTAGGAAAGGGTTTTTTTGTTTTTGTTTTGTTTGTTTTAATCTGTAAAATGAAGGTTGGATTAAATAACTTCTGAATTCACTTTTAGGGTTAAAATTCTGTGAGTCTATGTGTGTACTTTTCTTCATCTAACTAAGATAACTGGTTTACCCAGATAGCAATGGAAAATTCACAACTCCCATTGTTATGAAACATCAAAGAATATTGCTTTGATGTGTTGTTACAGAGCTAAAGACACTTGAGATCAGTGGTCATGTTTTTCTGAATAATATTCTTTGACTCAGTCTGTTTTTCTAATTTGTTCTTCCTTAGTACATACAGGTTTATTGTATAATACATGCTTGTTAAATTGAACAGAAAAATGACTGGGAGTGGTATTGTAATCTCTGTTCCTGGAGCAGCTGAGGCTGATGGATCATGTGCTCTCTGGAGTTCTGAATTACACTGGGCTAAAGCAGACTGAGTGTCCACACTAAGTCTGGCACCAATATTGTGAGCCCCTGGGGGCTCACCCTCTAAGGAAGAGTGAACAGATTCAAGTGAGAAGGTCAAGGCATCCATGCCAAAGAGCTCTTACATTAGGCCTGTGGGTGCATGTTGAACTTCTAGGCTAGGTGAGGCAGAGAGAGAGAGGAAGGGAGGAAGGAAGGGAGGAAGGAAGGGAGGAAGGAAGGAAGGAAGGAAGGAAGGAAGGAAGGAAGGAAGGAAGGAAGGAAGGAAGGAAGGAAGGAAGGAAGGAGGGAAGGAAGGAGGGAAGGAAGGAGGGAAGGAAGGAGGGAAGGAAGGAAGGAAGGAAGGAGGAAGGAAGGAGGAAGGAAGGAGGGAAGGAAGGAGGGAAGGAAGGAGGGAAGGAAGGAGGGAAGGAAGGAGGAAGGAAGGAGGGAAGGAAGGAGGGAAGGAGGGAAGGAAGGAGGGAAGGAAGAGGGAAGGAAGGAGGGAAGGAAGGAAGGAAGGAAGGAAGGAAGGAAGGAAGGAAGGAAGGAGGGAAGGAAGGAGGGGGAAGGAAGGAAGGAAGGAAGGAGGAAGGAAGGAAGGAAGGAAGGAAGGAAGGAAGGAAGGGAAGGAGGGAAGGAGGAAGGAATGATTGTGAGTCAGTCAATAAGCATTTATTAAGTGCCTACTATATGCCAAGAATTGTGCTAAGCCTTGGGAATACAAAGAGAGACAAAAAAGGGGACCCTGCCTTAATTGTATCTCACAGTCTAACCAGGGAAACAAAACATACAGGTAAAAAGTTAAACAACTACACAAGATTTAAACAATAGTTCAACCTAACAATAGGAAAGATGCTAGACTTGGGTTTTATTCTTCTTTTTTTTTCTTTTGCTAGGCAATGGGCTTAAGTGACTTGCCCAGGGTCACACAGCTAGTAAGTGTTATGTGTCTGAGGCCCGATTTGAACTCACGTCCTCCTGAATCCAGGGCTGGTGCTCTATCACTGCACTACCTAGCTGCTCCCTTGGGGTCTGGCTCTGTTTTCTTACTTATTGGTGGTATAGAAATAGAGGAAGGAGTAAGAAAACAGAGCCAAACCCTATGCTTTCAGCACTCAGACTGAAGTCGATCTTGAGAATTCTCAATAATTGTTCCTATATCTCTGGCGTATTCCTCTGTACAGATTCTGTCTCTGAAAAAATTATAACCTAGCTCATTTTAGCTCTACCTAGAAGTATTAATGACTCCACTCACTGTAAATATTTAGAGTCTTCCAACAAGCAGCAAAACATACATTACTTATTCAGGAAAGTAATTGACATTGAAGGAGCTACAATTCCCATGATTTAGTGAGACAGCAGGAATATATTTCACTTCTAAAAGAGTTAATCCTCTTCCTCCAAAATACTTCAACCTGAGTTTCCTTAAAAGACTCACAAAACCAAATGGAAGTCTCCATCATTTTAAAAGAACGAGTGATGCACCGTGTACTAAAATAAGCAATAAATGATTTAGACATAAAGGGTAATAACATAAGCAAATCAGAAGAACATAGAAGAAATTGCCTGCTAGATCTATAGATAGGAAAGAATTCATGGCCAAACAAGAGACAGCTTCAAAGGAGGTAAATGAACAATTTTGACTCACAAAATTTAAAAAAAGATTTTTCACAAACAAAACTATTGCAGCTAAAATTAGAAGAGAAGCAAGAAATTGGGGAAAATCTTTGCAGCAAGTTTCTCTGATAAAGGTCTCATTTCTCAGGGAACTGAAGGAAATTTACATGAATAAGAGCTATTCCCTAATTGATGAATGGTCAAAGGATGTGAATAAGCAGTTTTCAGAAGAAGAAACCCAAGCTATCAATAACGATATGAAAAAAATCTTCTAAATCGTTAATAATTAGAGAACTGTAAATTAAAACAACTCTGAGGTACCATCTCACACCTACCAGATTGGCTAAGCTGATGAAAAAGGAAGATGACAAATGCTGGAGGAGCTGTGCAAAAACAGGTATTATAATACACTGTTGGTGGAGTGGTCCAACCATACTAGAAAGCAATTTATAGCTATACCTCAAGAGCTATCAAACTATACCCTTTGTCCACTAGTAGGTCTATACCTCAAAGAGGTATGGATGGGAAGATGGGAGTGGACATGGTGAGAAATTAGTTCATGGAAAAAGATCTTGAGGAGTGCAGCAGCAGTGTTGGTACTAAACTCTGAATGAATGATGCAGTGGCCAACAAAGATAATTCAATTTTAGGCGCAATCACAGAAAGCATTGGTCAGACCACATCTCAAGTAAAATCATGGGACACCAGATTGGAAAAGGGATATGGAGGAGTTTAAAGTAAATCCAGAGAGTGACCAGGACAGGTAGAGAGCCACAAACCACGCCATGTGAGGATCAATTAAACTTATTGGAATTGTGGAGAAAAGAAATTAGGAAAGAAAGAAGTTTGAGGAAAGAAATATGTCTTCAAGTACAGAAGATCAGTCACCTGAAAGAGGAAACAGTGTTACTCTTCTTGGTCTCAAAGGGTAGAAATTCCAGGGAAGGTGGAATTTGACTCAGCTTTAAGGAAAACATTTTCCTAATAATTAGAATTATCCCAAAATGGGACTGGCTGCTTTGAAAGGTGGTAAGTTTCCCATCACTGGAGGTATTTAAGTGGAGATTGATATTGTCAGGGTTCTTGTAAATGGGATTCATGTTTTGGATACAAGTTGGTGTAATGGGCTGGGCCTGACTCAGATCCAGGAAGTTTGCATTTGAAATTGGAATGAAATCAGATGCTAGAAATCTAGCTAACAGTTACCAAAAGGAGGTTTACTTTGCCAGAGCAGAAGGACGTTCAGAACAGAGGTGTGTTCATCCAGGATAAAGCACTGATTCAGTAGAATACGCTTAATGACCTGTGATTGTAAGCTTTAATCTCCTGAGTCAATCATATCTCAAGGACAGTTTCCATACCTTTTAAGGAAAATCTAGCCTAACTTTCATGGAGGTATGGGGTGCCACTTAATGACATTTTCCCAAGATAGCTCACCTTTGAGGACCCTTCCAACAATGAGATTTTATAAGTCTATGATTTTATAAAAATCTCCATCCTTGTTCTTCTTTTATAGACAATAGAAGACTTATCTATAAGCTGGAAGAGGAAGAAAGCATGCCTGATGGTATGTGCATTGACACTGAAGGGAAGCTGTGGGTGGCCTGCATTGATGCTGGAAGAATAATACGTTTGGACCCCGAGACAGGTAAACTATTGCAAATGAAATTCTGAAAATGTCAGACGTGGAATGTTTTTGGAATGGGCTGTAGGCATTTCCAAGTGGAACTGGCATGCTGGTATGCCAACTTCAGAGAGACAGAAATAAGGTAATAGTCACTGATTTGTCAAATCATACTTGTCCTCACTACTCTTGCAGCCTTTCATTTTTCTTATAGGATTTATTTATTTATTTATTTTGCCTTTATGGACCAATGTCCCTCAGAAGTCACAAGTAAAATGATTTTCCCATAAATCTGATCAAATTTTAAATTCACTGAAGAACGTGGCTATTTTTTCACATTTCAACAAATATTTATTGAGCATCTATTATGTTCAAAATATAATAATATAATAATAATAATAATAATAATAATAATAATAATAATAAACAGAGGCATATGGGGTATTCAGGGAGGGTTAGTATCTCTGGTATGAGGGCTTACTGAACTCTTTTCAGGGTCACTCATTCACCTTTGGTGTCTACTTGGCATTCAACTCCCACCTGTAGCTCCAAGAAGCTGTAGCATGTGCAGCAGCCATACCCAGGTAAAACCATCTCAGCAGATGGGCTAAACCAGGTTGAGGGGGACCGACAAGCCTCAAACCTGTGGGTGAGTTAGGATGTGTGTTAGTTGGGATGTCTACCCCAAGCATGTGAAGATGCTTAGAACAATTTGTTCTCAGTCATAAAGGTGGCTGAAGCAGGTGCTGTGGAGTGCTTAGAGCTTGGTGAGACCTCAAAGATGCTGAGGTCATCCACTGCCTCCTGGGCCATGGCCACTCATTCTGACTTTTGTCTTGCCATTGGACTTTGATGACTTTCGAAGACAGAGTGAGGCCAATGACTTTGTGAACCCTATGTCACTTAAATCCAATTAATGCACAAGTCAAGACATCACCCTGTGATGTCATTGGTCCTCTTTGGAAATGAAAGATGAACAACAACAGCAACAATAATAACTCAAATTAGATAGCACCTTATGGTTTACAAAGTGCTTTGCATCCATTAATTTATTTGTTCCTCACAGCAAATTCTGAAAAAATTTTTTAAATGATAAAATGAAGACTCTTTTTTATAAAGTGAATACCTGTGAGTTTGTCTGTATTGTATGCTGCATTTTTGTATATGGAATTTTAAAAATTGGGACTAACACAGTCGCTCTGCCATCTGGTGGTATGCATCTGAGACATTTTGTTTTAGCTTTAGCAAGGCAGGTACTAGAAAAGAGCATTCAGGTGGCTTTTGCATCTTGTAACTAGCCAGGAGCTTGGAACTTTTGTGGATATAGACCCCTTACTTCCTGTGTTTTGAATTATATTTACCTAAAAGGACTGACAAACTACAAAGCATTCAGAAGAGGTTGAAGAGTCAGGCTTAAAGATTGTGCCAAATGAAAGAACTTGGGAGATGTTTGGACTGGAGAACAAGAGAGTAAAGGGATACAATCACTGCTTCTGTATAGGAAGAGCTGGCATGCAGAAAGATTAACCTTTTTCTGCTTGGCCCCAAAGGGTAAAACTAAAAGCGATGGGTGGAAATTAAGGAGGCAAATTTTAGCTTGAGATAAGGACAAACTTTCTAATAATAAGAACCATCTCACAGTAGAATGGACACAACAGGAAGCAGTGAGATCAAATGAGATCATATTTGTAAAGTGCTTAGTACAGTGTCTGGAACATAATAGATGTTTAATAAATGTTTGTTCTCTTCCTTTTCCCCTTCTTGAAGGTCTTTTAAAAATATTTTATTTTTAATTTGTGGAATAAAACAAGCATTTCTATAACAGTATAATAAAAAGATGATTGCACGTGAAACTGAAAATCTACTATGTATAACTTGCTATTCCTTTTAAATCTATAACAAAATTATCACATAAATGCCTTTTTTTCCCTTCCTTCCCTCCCTCCTGGCCCTAGAGATGGCCACCATTAGACGCAAATAGGTATATAGATGTAAAATTATTCTACACATACTTCTATTTATCAGTTCTTTCTCTGGATGCAGATAGTGTTTTCTTCACATGTCCTTTATAGTTAATTTGGGTATTTATAACAGTCAAAATAATTTATTTGTTCAAATTCTTTCTTAAAGTAATATTGCTGTTACTGTATATAATGTTCTCTTAGTTCTGCTCATTTTGCTCTTCATTATTTCCTGAAAATCTTTCTTGGGCGTCTTAAAGCAAAGCCTTAAAGGGTATGTCGTAGAGGGGTTTCTAATTTGAGTTTAAGTTGATCAGCAAGAATTTTTTAAGTGTTCCAGGCACTGTGCAAGATGCTGATATAAATAAGTAGAACGAAACAATCCCTGCTTGCAGTGAGTTTAACACTTAACGGTATCTCAGCCCCAGAGAGGTTTAAATGACTTATTAGCCACATTCACATCCCTAACTTGAATTTGGTCAAGAGGCTGGAATCAAACCCAGTTCCTTTCTGACTCCAAGTCCAGAGGTCTTTCCAATACACTAGGTTACTTCTCTAAATACTAAAATGCTAAATAGTGAATGCTTCCCTTAGTACTTATGACCATGGTTAAGTCTCTTTTAGTTGCAGCCACAATCTCATGATTTTGAATGGGGAGTCTTCCCATAGGAAAATTCTTCTGGAAGGTAAAAGAGGTGGTATAATTCTAGGAGTACCAGGAAGGACACCTTACCTCACAAAAAGCATTTCCCCCACCTGGTCTCTGATGCCCAAAACTTGTTTAATGGGGGATAAAGCCTTTCATTCTGCCAGCAACAATAAGGCTTAAATGCAAATAACAATAACACATTTATATAGTGCTTTTCTTGAAACAACACTTTAAGGTAAATATATAAGTATTATTCCTACTTTATAGATGAGGACACTGGAGCTTCGAGAGGTTAACAGGCTTGTCTATAATAACCTACCTAATAGGTACTGGGTCTTGTATTTGACCTTGGGTCTTCTATCTCAAAGTCCAGCTTTCTTTCTACTATTTCATACTTCCCAAGACAGGATATATAGACTCAAATTTATACTAGAATATACCTGACTGATATTGAAAGCAGGCTGTGAAAACAAGCAGAGAGAAGAGACTACAGTGTACTGGGTCCTGAAAGATGCACAAGATAATAAGGGGGATGGGAAAGGGTACATAAAGGGAGAGACAGTGCAACTAAAACAGAATTTGCCTACTTCACAATTTTGCCAAAGGCCAGCCTTATCATCAGGGAAGTGAAACAACAAATTTTAAAAGCCCAGGATGCTGTTTTGCTTTCCTGGTAAGCAACCTGATGGGGAGGGATAAAGGAATCATTATTCCTAAGTTTTTCAAAGCAGATGTAACCAAAACAAGGAATGTTTTACCTCCTGAGTAGTGAGTGGTACCGCTGGCAGATAATATGATGAACTTGGAAGCCTGGGACCTGGGGTCAACTCTTATCTCAAAACAATTACTAGTTGGGTGATTATGGCATCTAACACTCAATCCACTAGACCAGAGGTGTCAAACTCCAATAGAAAGAGATCCCTGCCATGTATTGACTTAGAAAACCACAAATTAACTATCTGTGTTGCATTATATTTTTATTTATTTTGTTAAACAATTCCCAGTTACATTTTAATGTGATTCAGGCCACACTTGGAGTTTTGTGGGCTGCTTTTAGCCTACACACAGGAGCCTGGCACCTCTGCATTATACTATCCTGTCTCATATTATCATACTATGAATTAAAAGGCTGATTTCAGGGTATTTCTCTCACAGCTTGCCCTGAGCCCCAAGGGCTCTATACAAATGGCAGCTGTTGCCATTATTCTTACAGGAAAAAGACTGCAGACAGTGAAGATGCCCACTCCTAGGATAACATCCTGCTGCTTTGGTGGAAAGGACTACTCTGAACTCTACGTCACTTCAGCCTCTGATGGCTTGAGCCAAGAAGAACTGACAAGAGAACCTCATGCAGGACAGATTTTCAAGGTAGTGAGACCATGGATCCTTTCACTCATATAGCAAATTATCCACCAGCTGAGCTGTTATAAAAAATGTACTTTATAAACCTTAAAATTCTATATAAATATGAAGTCAGCAAGTATTCATTTAGCTCTTAGTACTTACATTAGTGTGCAACTAGGTGGTACAGTGGATAGCACACTGGGCCTGGAGTTAGGAAGACCTGAGTTCGAATCCAACCTCAGATACTTATGAGCTGTGTGACCCTGGGCAAGTCCCTTAACCCTGTTTGCCTTATTTTCCTCATCTGTAAAATGAGCTAGAGAAGGAAATGGTAAACCCCTCTAGTACCTTTGCTAAGAAAACTCCAAATGGGGTCATGAAGAATCAGACACAACTAAACAACAGTGACTCACATTATTATTATGTAAAGAATAATAATATAAAGAATAATATTATTCACATTCTTAAGATGATTTAGGAATCTCTGATAACTCCCAGAAGAACTTGACTAGAGTACATTTATACTGTCTATCAAAAAGGAGGTTATTGAACAAATTATTAGTATTAATACTATCTCAAGGGGAAAATTTAAACATCTTAATGTATGTATTAACTCTGACTGAATAATATTAGGTATAGGGATGGATAGTAGACCTGTGATATAATTGGTGTAGAGAACTATTAGGTGAGGAAACTCCTGATGTCAATGCAATTTGACACCTCTGCAATTTATGGTCTTAGAATTTAGATAATCTCCTGCAGCAATAAAGAGTGAAGTGACTTATCCAGGATCACACAGACAGTATAGGTCGAGATTAAAATCAAAACCAGATGAGCTCCCTTCTCATATTATATTAGTATTACAGTTTTAGATTCTGGAAACCAAAGCATCCATTTCATAAAGAAGCTACTTGTTTTTAGATAACAGCCAAGTAAGCACATCTTGAGTAAAAAGATGCTCCCTGAAACACAAAAAGTTTCTTGGGTAGTATTTCTGTCTATGAGTTTCTGCCTTGTTATTCATTATATTGGATATGCTGGAAATTATCCAAGGCCCCATACTATTATATTGTGTAGCTGATAATAAAGCTGTACAGTTCTTTTTAAAGTATTCTCTATTTTACACTTTTTAATTAATCATATGGATAGACCTTCTACTTCATGTAGGTTTCATTTGAATGAGTAAGTCTAGGAGATCTTCACATAGTGGATAGAGGGCTGGGCCTGGAGTCAGGAAGACTCATTTTCCTGAGTTCAAATCTGGCTTTAGACACTTTCTAGCTGTGTGATCCTGGATTAGTCACGTAGCCATTTGCCTCAGTTTCCTCATCTGTAAAGTGAGCTGAAGAAGGAAATGGTAATAGAATCCAGTATCTCTGCCAAGAAGACCCCAAATGGGGTTACGAAGAGTCAGACACAACTGAAAAATGAATCAACAACAACAACAATAGGAGATGTTCTAGAAGTTGTTTGGTGTTTTTCTGATACTTTTTTTTGGCTCTCTTGATAATGATAATAGAAAGCATTTATATAGCACTTTCAGGTTTGCAAAGAACTTTACAAATATTACATCAGTTTATCCTCACAACAACCCTGGTAGGTAGGTAGGGACTAGTATATCCTCAGAAACTGAGGTGTTATTCCTGTACCCCAGGAATAGGCGATGACTTTTTCTCCATTTAATAGATATTCACTGAGTGTGTGCTCCTTACATAGCATTGGGATAAGCACTGAGTGTGATAAAAATGAAATGTTAGAGGACATGGTATCTGCCCTCAGTTAGTTTCCAATCCAGTTTTGGAAGCAGGAATTTCCAAAAGTAATAAAACAGTTAAGTAACAGTGGGAGGCAGCATAGGATTATCCCCCAAAAAAGGGAGACAGGCAATAAATGCTCCTGCAGTTCAAAGAAGGAGCTCATTGAAGACTGATGTTGCATGGAAGGCCCTGATACATAGGATGGGACTTCGATCAATTGTGTTAGTTTCTTCTCTCAAGGAAAAAAAAAATCTTTTTCTGGGAAATGTGCCTTTTCATCTAAGTAGCAAAGTATCTGCATTGAAGATTCCTTTATCTCTTTGTGCTTTTGTTCTGACTATTTTGGAAATACATGACTAATAAACACCACAGATGGGAATGGAACCCTGACTCTTCCTGACTCGAGGCCCAACATTCTATCTACTAGTCCAGACAACAGCTCATGATGTCTTGAGATTGGTGATTCAAGACTGAAAAAAGAAGACAGTGAAGGATGTCTTAAAAAAAGAGTTTTTAATCATTTTTATTCAGCTATCAGTGACTCACAAATAAAAGGCTTGATTCTTTTGTTTCTGTGATGACAGCATTCTACTTTCAGGTGGGGCATATCACAGATTTATTGAGAGGGAGGTGTCTTGACAGCTGAGAAAATGGCTGTTGTTTGAGCTATGTTGCTGCTGATACGTAGCAGTGGGTCACATACATCATTTCTGTTATCAGTTGTGTCTTTTGGCTTTAAAATCAACACATTAGATCATAGTTCCCCATCATGATTTCAAAGAATCAAAGGAGACAGAAATGATTTACATTTTAATCTATTTTATTCTAACAGGTAACTGGCCTGGGTGTGAAAGGAATCCCTCAGTATTCCTTTGCAGGTTGAACACCCACAGGTCACAAAAACTTCACAAAGAAGTCTTCCCCACTCCAGAGGATTGGAACCTGTCACACAGTCCTCTGTGGTACTTTGTTCTGGACTTGTATTCTGCCTCTCTCATGGCTCCTTAACAGACTTAGACAATAAAGATATATACATTACACTACAAGTTTCCCCCCAGTTATATTCTTTTTTTACTTTTTATTGTTTTTGCTTGCTGTCCCAATATGCATTTGTTCTCAGTTGCAGGCATGTATAAGAATGTAATATTCAAGTGCTATCCCTATATAGTTCTGTGCACAATTTCCATGCAATGAATGAATCTTTTACAAAAGATTTATAGGAGGTCATAAGTTGTATGGGATGAGAACTCATCTAGCCTTCCACTAGAACATCAAGGTTGATGTAGCATGGGCATCTTGCCATCTTCCCTGCTGCTGCATCCATATTATCCACCAAGCCTAGTGAACTTCCATACAGGATGAATGGAGTTAATCCATCTAGGTTTGGGACTTTGCTCTGGGATTGAGCAGTCTTGATTGGTGAGTGAGTGAGTGAAAACACTGTGTCTACCTGGCTCCACATCACATCTCACACTCTATCTATCCATCCACCAAGAAAGACACTAGGGCCAACCTACTACTGATATCTTACCTTATTGCCCACACACAAACTCTCACATCATGCCCACACCCTACTCCATTTCACCTCTTACCCTTATTATGGGAACAATAATCAAATAACACTACCATTCACATCAGAAAGAATGTGACCATCTATTGCCCTATTCTGTCACCCACCCAATTCCTTTGCTCTCATAAACCAAAGCTGCCTACCCTACCCACAACTTCCCTATATGAGGTGTATTCCCCGTTAGAATGTAAGCTCCTTGAGGTAGAAACTATCTCACTTTTGGAGTTGTATTTCCAGTGTGTAGCACTTAATAAATGATAGTTGGTTGATTGTAGATAAATCATCAATCAACTTATTGTTTGATGAATGTGTGATTGAGCTGTGATTTGGTTGGGATTTCTCATTAGTGAGATCGCAGATCCATTGAATAATTGAAGAATAAATCAACTAAACCCATCTACTACTGTAGTGTGCTTGAATTCTTAGCATGAGTGTGTGTGCATGTTCATATATGGTATGACTGTAAAGTAAGGACTAAGCCTATTTTTTTTTTCATCCTCAGCCTTATAATGGAAATCACATTTTTTTTCATAGAATGAATGAAATAATTATAGATTGCATTCCAAATACATCAGAGATATTGTTGTCTAGACTCATGATTTCCTGATTTCCTGATTCCTCCTTTAGAGGAAATGCCCTTGGCTAGAAGAGATGAGCAACTGTGCTGCATCTTATTGTCCTGGAGAACTGCCAGGGGTATTGAGAGATTAAGTGACTTGTCCGAAGACATACATCCAGTAGGCGTCAAAGGCAAGACTCCAACTAGGTCTTCTTGACTCTAAGGGCAACTCTTGATCCACACTGCACACAAGTAGGACCAATAATATGTTGTAAAAGTAGAAACACAACAACTATATACTATCAGAATACTTGGAGAACATTCAACTCCCTTTATTTTATGGGTGATGAAACTGAGGTCTGGGAAATTCAAGGACCTTCCTTAAGGTCTTTTAACTTTGAAAAATGAACCAGGACTAGAGACCAAAGCTTCAGATTTTTTTAGGCCCATTTATTCTTTTTCTTTTTTTTTTCTTAATGTCTTTTTAAAAATTAATTAATTTATTTTTACTTTTTCAACATTCACTTCCATAAGCTTTTGAGTTTTAAATTTTCTCCCCCTCCTTCCTCTCTCCCCTTTCCACAACAGCATGTAATCTGATATAGGCTCTACACATACATCTGTATTAAACACATTTTCACATTAGTCATGTTGTAAAGAAGAATTAGAATCAATGAGAACCACAAGAAAGAAGAATCAAAACAAAACAACAAAAGCAAGGAAATAGTATGCTTTGATCTTCATTCAGACTTCATAGTTCTTTCTCTGGATGTGGACAGCATTTTCCATCATGAGTCTTTTGAGGTTGTCTTAGATCCTTGAATTGCATAAGTCTATCAAAGTTAGTCATCTCATAGTGGGGCTGTTGCTGTCTACAATGTTCTCCAGGTTCTGCTCACTTCACTCAGCATCAGACCATATAAGTCTTTCCAGGTTTTTCTGAAGTCTGCCTGCTCATTATTGCTTATAGCACAGTAGTATTCCATTACATTCATACACCTTAACTTGTTCAACCATTCCCCAATTGATGGGCATCCCCTCAATTTCCAATACTTGGCCACCACAAAAAGGGCTGCTGTAAATATTTTTGTACATGTGGTACCTTTTTTCCATTTGTATGATCTCTTTGGGATACAGACCTAGAAGTGGTATTGCTGGCTAAAAGGGTATGCACAGTTTTATAGACCTCTGGCATAGTTCTGAATTGCTCTCTAGAACAGCTGGATCAGTTTACAACTGCACCAATGATGCATTAGTGTTCCAATTTTCCCACATCTTCTCAAACAGTTGTCATTTTCCTGTTTTGTCATGTTAGCCAATCTGATAGCTATGATGGTACCTCAGAGTTGTTTTAATTTGCATTTTTCTAATTAGAAATGATTTAGAGCATTTTTCCATATGACTATAGATAGCTTTAATTTCTTTATCTGAAAACTGCCTGTTCATATCCTTTGACCACTTATCATTTGGGGGATGACTTGTATTCTTATAAATTTGACTCAGTTCTCTATGTATTTTAGAAGTGAGGCCTTTATCACAGACATTGGCTGTAAAAATTGTTTCCCAGCTTTCTGCTTCCTTTCTAATCTTAGTTGCAGTGACTTTGTGCAAAAACTTTTAAATTTAATGTAATCAAAACCATCCATTTTGCATTTCATAATGTTCTCTGTCTCTTGTTTGGTTATAAATTCTTCCTTTCTCCATAAAACTGACAGGTAAACTATTCCTTGTTCTCCTAGTTTACTTACAGCATTAGCTTTATATTTAAATCATGTACCCATTTTGACTTTATCTTGGTATACAGTGTGAGATGTTGGTCAATGTCTGTTTTCTGCCATACTATTTTCCAGTTTTCCCAGTAGTTTTTTTAAATAGTGAGTTCTTATCCCAGAAGCTGGAGTCTTTGGATTTATCAAACAATAGATTGCTGTAGTCACTGACTATTATGTCTTGTGTACCTAACCTATTCCACTGATCCACCACTCTGTTTCTTAGCCAGTACCAAGTAGTTTTGATGATTGCTACTTTATAATACAATTTAAGATCTGGTATGACTAGGCCACCTTCCCTTGCATTTCTTTTCATTAATTCCTTTGATATTCTGGACCTGTTGTTCTTCCAGATGAATTTGATTATTTTTTCAAGCTCTATAAAATAATTATTTGGTAGTTTGATTGGTATGGCACTAAATAAGTAAATTAATTTAGGTAGAATTGTCATTTTTAGTACATTAGCTCTACCTATCCATGAGCAACAGATGTTTTCCCAGTTATTTAGATCTGACTTTATTTGTGTAAAAAGTGTTTTGTAATTGTGTTAATATAGTTCCTGGGTTTGCTTTGGCAGGTAGACTCCCAAATATTTTATAATGGCTACAGTAACTTTAAATGGAATTTTTCTTTCTATTTCTTGCTGTTGGGCTTTGTTAGTAATATATAGAAAGGCTGATAATTTATATGGGTTTATTTTATATCCTGCAACTTTGCTAAAGTTCTTTATTATTGGAAGTAGTTTTTTACTTGATTCTCTAGGATTCTCTACGTATACCATCATATCATCTGCAAAGAGTGATAACTTTGTTTCTTCTTTGCCTATTCCAATTCCTTCAATTTATTTTTCTTTTCTAATTGGTAAAGCTCACATTTCCAGTACCATGTTGAATAACAGTGGTGTTAAAGGACATCCTTGTTTCACCCCCAATCTTACTGGAAATCTTCTAGTTTATCCCCATTACATATAATGCTTGCTGATAGTTTTAGACAGATGTTACCTATCATTTTAAGGAAGACTCCATTTATTCCTGTGCTGTCTAGTGTTTTTAATAGGAATGCATGCTGTATTTTGTCAAAAGCCTTTTCTGTACCTATTGAGATAATCATATGATTTCTGTTAGTTTTGTTGTTAATATGGTCAATTATGCTGATAGTTTTCCTAATATTGAACCAGCCCTGCATTCATTCTCCTACTATAAATCCATAGTGTATTATTCTCAAGATAAGTCGTTGTAATCTCTTTGCTAACATTTTATTTAAAATTTTTGCATCTATATTCATTAGGGAAATTGGTCTATAATTCTCTTTCTCTGTTTTGGCTCTTCCTGGTTTAGGTAACAGCACCATATCTGTATCATAAAAAGAATTTGGTAGGGCTCCATCTTCACCTATTTTCTCAAATAGTTTATATAGTATTGGAATTAGTTGTTTTTTAAATGTTTGATAGAATTCACTTGTAAATCCTTCTGGCCCTAGAGATTTTTTCTTGAGGAACTCATTAATGGCTTATTCAATTTCTTTTTCTGAATTGGTGTTATTTAAGTATTCTATTTCTTCTTCTGTTAATCTGGTCAATTTGTATTTTTGTAAATATTCATCCATTTCACTAGGATTGTGTAATTTATTGACATACAGTTGGGCAAAATAGCTCCTAATTATTGTTTTAATTTCCTCTACCTTGGTGGTGAATTCACCCTTTTCATTTTTGATACTGGTAATTTGATTTTCTTTTTTTTTTTATAAAATTAACCAAAGGTTTATCTATTTTGTTTTTTCATAAATCTAGCTCTTAGTTTTATTTATTAGGTCAATAGTTTTCTTAATTTCAATTTTTTAAATCTCTCCTTTGGTTTTCAGAATTTCTAATTTGGTATTTAATTGGGGATTTTCAATTTGTTCTTTTTCTAGATTTTTTAGTTGAATGCCCAATTCATTGAGCTCCTCTTTCTCTATTTTATTCATGTAAGCACTGAATGTCTTATTAATGCCTTTTCTCCTAATATCATTGTCATTTCTGACACCTAAGTGGCATAGTAGATAGAGCTCTGGACCTGGAGTCAGGAAGACCTGAGATCAAATCTGGCCTCAGACACGAGCTGTGTGACCCTGGGCAAGTCACAGCCTCTGCCTCATTTTCCT